AAATTAATCTTCTTAAATTTAACAATTTTCTACAACAGTGAAAATTTAGCCCAGATTAAAGCTATGTTTTTTTTCTCCTGATGCCAACAAGTTAGTCCAGCCCTCTGCATGTCTCACACAGATGAATAAGTGAATAAAGGAAAGCAGAGACTCATATAGACAAATTCCAAAATGTTGATTCTATTCTGTATATTTTAATTTAAAATTATGGTATCCTTCACTCACATTAAGCTGTATATTTTTAATGTCCTTAAATAACATGATGGTTTCTTTTTTTTTTTTTGGTATATGTATATATCAGTGAAATAATCTGAATTACATAATGAACTTATACAGCTATTATCGCTGAAAGGCTTCATATCCCATTCAGACATTCTGGTCACCTTCCCCAGGCAACCAAAATTCTTTCTCTTGGATGAGTTTACTATGTTTTTTGTTTGTTTGTTTTTGTTGTTGTTTTTGCAGTGTTTTAAAAATATACATTTTATGTACCCTTTTGTCCTCTATACAATCATTCTGGGAGGACCTTTTATTACCTGCAGTTGTTTGTTCTTCTTTAATGTTGGATTTCCTTGTTTTTAATTGCAGAGTAGTATTCCATTGTGTAAATGTACCACAAATTTCTGTACCCATTCCTCTGTTGAGAAACAACTGGGTTGTTTCCAGGTTCTGGCGATTACAAATAAAGCTACTATGAACATGACTGAGTTGAGCAAATGTCCCTTGTTGTATACTTGAGCAAATTTTGGATATATGCCTAGGAGTGTTTTAGCTGGTTCTTGAAAAGCACTATTCCTAATTGTCTGAGAAAGCACCAAATTGATTTCCAAAGTGGTTGTACAAGTTTATATTACCACCAGCAGTGGAGGAGGGTTCCCTTTTCCAAATCCTCTCTAGCATGTATTGTCACTTGAGTTTTTGATCTGATGGGTATAAGCTGAAATCTCAGGATAGTTTTGATTAGCATCTCCCTGAAAACTAAGGACATAGAGCATTTCTTTAAGTGTTTCTCTACCATTTGATATTCTTCTATTGAGAATTCTCTGTTTAGCTCAGTACCCCATTTTAAAATTGGATTACTTGATTTGTTGCTGTGTACCTTATTGAGTTCTTTATATAGTCTGGATATCAGTCCTCTGTCAGATATAGGCTTGGTGAAGATCCTTTCCCAGTCCGTAGGCTGTTGTTTTGTTCTGATGACAGTGTCTTTTGCTTTACAGAAGCTTTTCAGTTTCATGAGGTCTCATTTATTGATTGTTGATCTTAGAGCCTGTGCTGTTGGTGTTCTGTTCAGGAAGTTGTCTCCTGTGCCAATGAATTTAGGCTGTTCCCCATTTTTTCTTCTAACCGATTTAATGTGTCTGTTTTTATGTTGAGGTCTTTGATCCACTTGGACTTTAGTTTTGTGCAGGGTGATAAATATGGATCTATTTTCATTTTTCTGCATGTGGACATCCAGTTGGACCAGCACCCTTTGTTGAAGATGCTGTCTTTTTTCCATTCTACGCTTTGGCTTCTTTATAAAAAATCAAGTATCCATAGGTGTGTGGGTTTATATCTGGGTCTTCTATTTGATTCCATTGATCCACCATTCTCTTTCTATGCCAGTACCATGCAATTTTTATTACTATTGCTGTGTAGTGCAGCTTGAGATTAAGGATGGAGATACCTCCAGACGATCTGTTGTTGTATTGTATTGTTTTGGCAATTTTGTTTTTGTTTGTTTGTTTTTCCATATGAAGTTGAGAATTTTTCTTTCAAGGTCTGTAAAGAATTGTGTTGGTGTTTTGCTTTGTTTTTAAGGAACAGAACTAAAAAACTGCTCTTTAGTTTTACTTTCTATGTAAGTTCTCACTAGATTGCTGTAATTCTGACACTCATTAGTACACCATTTGTTGTTGATTTTAATATTTACTATTGATTTATCTTTTAGTTAAACAGCTGTTGTTCCTAAACCAGCTGTATACCCAAATCACCACACAGAGACTAGGATTTATTTAATTAACTTAGAGCACAATGCTGGGCAATGATTACTCTATCTTAAACCTCCGAGCCAGCATAGTTCCTTCCCATTCAGATTTCTCATATTATCCTTGCTTTTAGTCATATCTTAGGTCTGGTTCATCTCTCCTTATGGTTCCAAGTCCTGTCCTGCCCGATATTTCCTCTCCATCTCCCCCCACTTGCATCTTTCTCCTCCTCTCTAGTCCAGGATGTCCCACCCTATTATCTCCTTTACACAGCATTGGCTGGTTGTTTTATTGAAATTACAGAGAACAGATGGTGGTATGTTTCCATACACTTGAGACAGGTGATGCTTAGAATAAACACTACAACACAATGTGCAAACCAGATAGTAGGGTAGAGAAATCGGCATTTGAATGAACAAGGATAAATTGTATACATTCCATAATAATGTAAACTTGTACAACCACTTTGGAACTCGATCTGGTGCTTTCTCAGACAATTAGGAATAATGCTTCCTCAGGATCCAGCTATATCACTCCTAGGCCTATATCCAAAAGATACTCAAGTACACAACAAGGACATTTGCTCAACCATGTTTGTAGCAGCTTTATTCGTAATAGCCAGAACCTGAAAACAACCCAGATGTCCATCAAAGGAAGAATGGATATAGAAATTGTGGGACTTTTACACATGGAATACTACTCAGCAATTAAAAACAAGGAAATCATGAAAATTGCAGGCAAATGGTGGGATTTAAAAAAGATCATCCTGAGTGAGGTATCCCAGGAGCAGAAAGACACATATGGTATATACTCACTTATAAGTGAGTACTAGACCTATAAGATAGGATAAACATACTAAAATCTGTACACCTAAAGAAGATAAACAAGAAAGAGGACCCAGGGTAAGATGATCAATCCTCACTTAGTGGACATTGGAAGTAGGAGAAAACAAGTAACAGGACAGGAGCTTACCACAGAGGACCTCTGAAAGACTCTGCCTAGCAGTGTATCAAAGCAGATGCTGAGATTCATAACCAAACTTTGGGCAGATTTCAGGGAATCATATGAAAGAAGGGGGAGTTAGTATAGTCTGGAAAGGACAGGAGCTCCACAAGGACCAAATATATCAGGGCACAGGGGTCTTTTATGAGACTGTTTCTCCAACCAAGGACTATGTATGGATATAACCTAGAACCACTGTTCAGATGTAGCCCTTGGTAGCTCAATATCCAAGTGGATACTCTAGTAAGGGGAATAGGGACTATTCCTGACATAAACTCAATGGCTGGCTTTTTAACCCCCTCTCCCCCAGGGAGGAGCAGCCTTGCTAGGCCATAGAGGAGGACACTGCAGCCAGTCCTGAAGATACCTGATAAGGTAGGGTCAGATAGAAGGGAAAGAAGACCTCCCCTATTATTGGACTTTGAAAGGGGCAGGTAGGAGATGAGGGAGGGAGGGTAGGATTGGGAGGAATTGAGGGAGGGGGCTATGGCTGGGATACAAAGTAAATAACCTGTGATTAATACAAAAAATATTTTAAAAAAAGGAAAAAAAAGAAAAAAATTTAAAACATAATTAAATAAAAAAAAAGAACATTATACCAACAAAATATTTTCTTTGAATTCCTTCATGGATTTTTTTTTCTTCTTTTGAGAAGCAAGTTTTTAATTTAAAATTTCTTTTCTCAACATAAAATGAAAATTATTCATTGTATGAATTGTTATATATCTGACAATTTCATACAGGTATATGATGCATTTTGATTCCTTTGTGTTCTCTTTCACTTTCTTATGTCCCTTTCTTTATCTCCCTCCCATTCTGATCATCTCATCTCCATGCCTCTTCTCCCTGCTACTCACTAACCTAGGCTTATGACTTTTCTCCTTACTTCTTTGTGATCCCCTCAGTCTAACCAGGCAATATCCACTCGAGATTGTGGGGTCACCCATGGGTGGAGACACAGCTAAAAGCAAAGTAGACTGCTTTCCTTGGACATATTAATAAGAAATAGTTCAGCAGTCAAGGGTGAGGATCCCTAAGTCTGTGTTCTACCCAACCTTGGCTGATGGTGGGCTAAAATTTGTTCTTTCAAAGGTTTTCCTTAATTTACTCATTTTAAAGATGTTACATCTTTTCAAGTGTATCTGGAAATATCTTGAAAGTCTTCAGTCATTTTCTGTTTCATTAATTGTCATCATCCTTTGCCTTAGCAGCTCATTCTTCTGTTCATGTTACATGTTTTCTAAGTCTGTTTCCTCACAAGTTGCTGGCACTGACAACCACGTCACTAATCTTGCTGTTTCTCATTTTACAGTTTTTTTATCATGCTATTTTTAAGAAGCCTCATAAAAGGTAGAAGTTAGTATTTGTGTTGTGTTTGTTTCTTGAAACTAAAGTTGGCTAGCTCCTTTCTCTGGTCAATTCTTCCAATGTAAACAACTTGATTACATGAATTAAATACCATAAGTTTCTTTAAATCTATTGGCTGAAACATTATGGTTAATTTTAATTATTTATTAAAATTGAGGTATCAATATAAAATAATTTCTCATTTCAGAATTATGTTCTTCCTTACTTGTTTTTATGTTAAATATAGGGATGTGAAATCCTGTTTCTGGTAAAAATTCCATGTGTAGTTTTTCTGTTTTCTTGGAATTGTCTTCAGAAAAAGGTTTATATTTCAGCATAAAGTTCTCCATGTTCAATCTTCTCCATCTATCTAAAATGGCTATGTAGTATCTTATTGACAGAGAATAGTAAACACTAGATATAACTGCATCTGTGCAGTCAAAGGTAAAGCCATTGCTGCTTTGCTAAGCAGCTTCAACTTTCCTAATTATACTTAAAGGAAGAAGAAACTGCTATATAGGATCTTACTTTTCATTCCATGGTAATGAGAAAGTATCTTATAGAGTAAATTTGAATGTCAATTAAGCTGTGAGAAATTAAAAAAAGTTTACAAATTAAAAGCTCCAAGACAGCAATACAGTATAACCAGAAAAATAATATGTTTCGGTTTTTGTTTTTCAGGTACCAAGGATCCTTGTTTAAATTGGATGATAACTGCAATTGTATTCATTATTCCATATATCATCTTTGGAGCTGTTTTCTCTATTAATTTCAAAAGGAAAAGGTAATCTGTTATGATATATGATGTGGCAGAGAAGCTAGGTGCGATAGAGATAGTTGTAAATATTTTCGAAAATTCCAGGGGTTCTGGAAAAATCTATCCTTCATGAAGAGAGTAGTGAAGGAAAACTTGTCTTCACATGCTGGACAGTTTTTAACATAGGATGGTTTTAAAAGTACATTACTGGCAAGCATTTTATATTTAGGGTGAACTGAGTGCACTGTTTTATTTTAGAAAGAAAAAACAGGTTTTTTTAATTTTTATTTTATGTGTATGTGGATTTTGTCTGTATGTTTCTGTGTGCTACGTGTGTGTCTGGTGCCTGCGGAGGCAGGAAGAGGGTGTAAAAATCAAGTTATAGGCAGTTATGAAACCTCCATATGGGTGCTGGGAACTGAACCAGAGTCCTCTGAACAAGCAGCAAATTCTCTTAACTCCTGAGCCATTTCTCCAGCCCGGGTTTAAGATTCTTTATTGAGGATAAATTTTCAAAGAAGAAAGTAGAAGGCCCAGGACAATAGAGATGAGGGAGAAAGATGTAGAGACTAGAAGCCTGAGATAGGTCCAAATGAGGTATAATGTGAAAGGGAAATCTTACTTTTAAGATTAATATAACAAAATACCCATCCATTTAACGAGCTTCTTAGTGGACAACAATGCATGATAGGAAGGTAAATCGAAATAAGATACTAGGCAGCGACTATTTGTAATCCACATGCCCAGCAGTATCACTGAATGGCCAGGACATAGCAGTAGAAGTATAGACATAATTGGTAGCATGTGATTTGTCTTTGCTGTCATTATATATTAAATTTAAAAAAACATTTGAGGATTTTGTTCTACAACATCTCAACCCATGGAAATGTATAAACCAAAGAAACTTGAAGCTGGGCGCTAGTGGCGCACGCCTGTGATCCCAGCACTCAGGGAGGCAGAGGCAAGTGGATCACTGTGAGTTCAAGGCCAGCCTGGTCTACACAACGAGTACAGGACAGCCAAGACTAGACAGAGAAACCCTGTCTCAAACAAACAAACAAACAAACAAACAAACAAAAAATCCAAGCCAAAACAAACAAACAAGAAAATGAACTTGAGGAACTGATCTACAATCTAGGGGCCTCTCTCACTGGGATGTAGAAGAGCTGCCTTAGAAGACAAGAATGAAGGAGCATTTTGAAGAGACTGTTACACTAGTCAAGATGACAGATGTCTAGACTCAACAGATAGAAAAGAGGAGTAGGGATTAAAGCTACATTCAGGGTGGTAAGATTTCCTGAGTGACAGTTATGGAGAAAGATTATGATGAAGGACTTATTCAAGGTAAGCATTTAGTATTTAAAAAATATCTTGGAAAAATATGTAAAAGAATAGAGGAATAAAAACTTGCAGGGAGAATTAAGAATTCTGTTTTTTGGTTTTGGTTTTTTCACTTTCTAACGCAGTTTTCTAATATCTCACAGACCAAAACAATCATGTTTACGGAAGCAGGATGAGAGGAGCCAGGAACACCTCACGCTCTCCTGGCAGTTGTGAGCTCCTTCAACATTGAATTCTGTTTTAAATATTGCCATTTTTAAGTGCCTGTATACACGAAAGAGTATGTTAAGTATCCACATGTATAAACCTGGGATTTGTGGAACAGATGATAATTTTGGAATATAGAGAATATGATCACCATGGAGACAGATCACAAATCACTGCTTTTACAACTTTAAAGTAAAAAGAATAGGCAGGATCTAGTAATTTGGCCTGACTCCTGGAGGTATTTATATATGAATCTCTCAAATACTAATTGACAGCCTGCTATTAAATGTGCCATGATGGGAAGTTCTGTAAGAGTGACAGGAGAACCATACTACAATCCACAGATGCAAAGAAGTTAAGTAACAAGGAGGACCCAAGGGAGGGTATCACAATGTCACTCAGAAGAGGAAATAGAATAGACAGCAGAAGTGGATGAAGAGAGGGAACTGGGCAGGAGATGGAATGTGGAGAGGACAAGGATGGGGATCAGATGTGGGGAGAACAGGGATAGGAGGTGAGAGGGCTGGGAACAAGAAGGGAAACTTGAGTTGGGGGAATGTCTCTGTCAAGCTGGAGGCCTTCAACAGGAGAGGCTCCTGGGAGATAATGGGTGTGACTCTAGCTGAGACTCCTAACGAGGGTCTAGAGGGACATGAAGGCTGGTTACCATCTCCTAGCCAGGCAGGACTAGTGGAAGGAGGGGAACAACAACCCACCAACAAAACCTGTGATCCAAAAATTACCCTGCCAACAAGAAGTGCAGGGAAAATGAGGAAACAAAGATTGAGGGAAAGTCCAAACAAGAAGTGTCATGGTATCTCTAGGTCAGAGAACAAGTCTGAAACATCAACACAGAAGCCTAACCCACTATCAACACGGGTGCCCACTCCACCGTCAACAGAAAATGAGAACTTAATGAGCCAACACCGTCAGACAGAGATATAATTGGTAGTGTGCATTTTTTCCTGTCGCTACATCTTTAAATTTAATAAGTTTTAAAAATTTGTTCATACAGTGACTAGCAGCAATTGTCGTTTTAGAAAGAGGTAGAGACAAGTATTCTTTTCAATACAAAATTTTATTCCAGGAAGCAGTAAACTTAAGTGAGGTTTTATTTCTGTTAATGTCTTTACATTTTGAACTTAAAATTAATTTAACTGATACATAATAATTATGTTGGAGTGATATAACTGGGTCTTCAGATAGAGATATTCCCAATTTTCTGAGAAAGGGCTAGATTGATTTCCAAAGTGGTTGTACAATTTTTTAGTACCACCAGCAATGGAGGAGTGTTCCCCTTTCTCCAAATCTTAGCCAGCATGTGCTTTCACTTGAGATTTTGAATTTAGCCATTCTAATAGGTGTAAGATGGAATCTCAGAGCCCTTTTGATTTGTATTTCCTTTGACTAAGGAAGCTGAGCATTTCTTTAAGTGCTTCTAGGCCATTTGAGATTGCGCTGGTGAAAATTCTGTGTTTAGTTCTGTGCCCCATTTTTTAGTAGGGTTATTTTGTTTGTTGGTGTTTGATGACTTGAGTTCATTATATATTTTGGATATTTTCCCTTTGTCAGATGTAGCCTTGGTGAAGAACATTCCCTAATATGTAGAATGTTGTTTTATTCTATTGACAGTGTCCTTTGCTGTACAGAAGCTTTTTAATTGCAAGAGATCCCATTTATTAATTATTGATCTTGGAGCCTAAGCTGTTGACTGCAAGGGACAAGAACTCGCTAGCTTTTTGATGACTTCCTCCTGGCAAGACTGCCTTGCTGGGCCAGAGGTGAAGAGAACATGTTCAGTCCTGATGCAACTTGATGAGCTGAGGTGAAAGGGAGCTCCCCTTTTCTGAGGAACAGGCTAAGGGGGATGAGGAAGGGAGGGGAGGACTGGGAGGGGAGGAGGGATGGGGCTAAAACTAGTATGTAAAGTGATTTAAAAAATTTAAAAATAAAGTAAATTTACTTCCACCAAAAAATTATGTATAATAATTATGGAGTAAAAAGTATATTTTAATAGCAGGTTAAACATGTCTGTTTACTCAGACACCATTTCTTTAGGCCAAAAACTTTTCAAATCTTTTCTGCAAAGTTTTAAAAATATATAGAATATTGTCATTATTTAAAATTACCCTACTGTTCAGTAGCAAAAAAAATCTCATTTCTACCTATCTATAACTTAGTCCTTTGAACAACCTCTCTTCATCCCTCCTACCTTCTACTAACCCAGCCTCTAATCACTAAATTCTATTCTTAACCCCATAACATGACTTATCTGGATCAGATAATGTAGTATTTGTCCCTATGTACCTGGATTTTTTTTTTTTTACTTAACATGGATTAACCCCAAGTTCCATTCATATTATTATAAATGGCAGAATTTTCTTTTTATGGCCAAATAATATTCACACAGGTGTGTGTATCATATTGTCGACCCCTCAGTTCTAAACAGGTAGTTGCTTTATTTCTCATCTTTTGTGAACAGTGCTACAGAGAGCATGGAAGTCGAGATGTCACCTCAACATTTTCAACATACGGATTTCTTTTCCTTTTAGATATATGCCTAGTAATGGGATAGCTTGAACATATAGCAGTTTTGGTTTTAACTTTTTGAGAATCCTTTATATGGTTTTCCATACTGGTCATACTAACTTACATTTCACCTACTGTCTGTTACATTTCACCTACTGTCTGTGCGGATTCCCTTCTCCATATGCACACACCGCTTTTCTTTGGTGTTTTTAATAATAAATATAAGTACGGGGTAAGCTGCTACCTTCTGGTGGTTTTCATTTGCTTTTCCCTCATGATTAGTGATGTTAAGTTTTTTTTTATGTGCCCATTAACCATTTTGTATGCCTTCTTGAGATATGTCTATTTAACTTTTTTGCCCATAAAATCAAATAGTTTGTTTTTATTGAATTCTTAAATTCCTTATATGTCCTTAAATATCAAACCACAGTCAGATGTAGAGTTTGCAAATTTTTTCTTCATTTCAGAAGATAGTCTTTCATGCTGTTGGTGACTGTTTTCCTTGTTGATCAGAAATGTTTTAGTATCATGTACTCAATTTGTCTGTTTTGGTTTTGTTGCCTGAGTTTTTGAGATCGTGTCTGAAATGTCCTTACTGATTTGACTTTCCTGAGTATTTTTCCAAGACTTGTTCTAGTGGTGTTATAATCCTATATTTAAGGACTTGATATTTATATTTAATATTTATAATCCTATATTTGTAGGGTATGATAGTTATATATATTTTATACCTTTAAAATATTATAATATAAGGCTTAAATACTATATACTGTAATCAAATCATCTAGTTGGATTTGATTTTTGCAACATATGTAAGAGATGGTTCTAGTTTCTTTCATTCCCTTGCATGTGGGTTATCCAATTACCCCAACACTATCTATTGGCAACACTGCCATTTCCAAGTATGTGTTTATGTGTGTTCTTAGCACCTTTATTGAAATTAGTTCTCTGTAGATATGTGGGTTTATCACAATCTCTATTCTGTTCTGTTGGTCTATGTGTCTATGTTTTGTAAATACCATGCTGTTTTGATTACCTGAATCTTTATGGTATATTTTTAAGTCAGGAGGTCCAGTGCCTTTAGGGTTCTTTTGATAATTCTGTATAGAATGTTGTTGAACTGATGGACTCTTTGAATCACTTTGGGTAGTGCAGATATTTTGATAATTTGGATTCTCCCAGGCTATAAGTACAGGTTATCTTTTCAGTGTCTATCTTCTTTGATTTCTTTGTCTAATGTTTTGTGATTTTTTTTTTCCACTGTAGAGATCTTTGGAAAGGCTGGAAGGCTTTTCAGTGTAATTTCACTTGCCTTATCTTTGTCATACATTTATTCAAGGCTCACCTTTTTAGGAAAGCTCAGTTTGTTTGTTTGTTTTTTCGGTGAATGAGTTTTGTAAGTTTTACTGAGCTAATGCCTTGGGTCTTTTTATTTGTTCATTACATGAATGAAACCTTGTTTTTAAGTGAAATATTTATGAAATATGTTAGTGGTGAGGAAAATTTATGTAAAATAGGTTGTGTTTGGAATGCTTCCTAAACTATCCAGAATTGTGCTAGTTTTGTGTCACCTTGACACAAGCTAGAGTCACTGGAGAGGAGGGTATCTCAGTTGAGGAAATGCCTTAAAAGATTGGGCTGTAGGTGGGCTTATACATTATTTTCTTTATTAGTGATTGATGTAGGAGGGCCCAGCCCCTTGTGGTTGGTACCATCCCTCTGCTTGTGGTCCTGGGTTCTATAAGAAAGCAGGTTGACCACACCATAGTGAGCAAGCCAGTAATCAGCACCCCTTCACGTTCTCTGTATGAGCCCCTGCCTCCAGGCTCTTTCCTTGTTGGGTTCCTATCCTGACTTCCTTTGATGATAAATAGTAGTCAAAATATAAGCCAAATAAATCCTGTTTTCCCAACTTGCTTTTGGCCATAGTGTTTCATTGAGGAAACAGAAACTCTAACTAAGATATTGATGCCAGGATTGTAGGGTATTTCTGTGACAGACTTGATCTTGTTGTTTGGGGGAGGATTTTGGAAGGGCTTTGGAACTTTGTGCAAGAATAGCCATTGAGTGTTTATTCAATGCTTGCTGAATTGTTCTGTAGGAGCATGGAAGATAAGAATGTTGAGAGCAATGCAGAAAATAGGCATGGCTTGTGAGGTTTCAAAGATAATTTAAAACACTATCAGTGCCATTTGTTATTTTTAATTAAGATTCTATGTTTCTGGTTAGTTGGGGCTGAAGAATCAATGAATAGCAGGATACCAGAACTACTAAAGTAAATAAAACCTTTGCTTTGCTGGGGTAATTGATGCTGGTTTCCTTGAGCTGAGGAATTAGTGGTAACTAAGAAATCTGTATCATTGAGGACAAATGTTTTGGGACTGGTTTTACAAGAGTCAGCCCAGAGAAGTTGTGTTCCAGAGGTGGCCAAGGTTGTAATGGTGTTGCCAGTAGAACTTGGTAGTGTTTAAGAATGAGTCACCCAGGTGGTTCTGGTTTTGAAGTTATGGAAGGGTCATGGAGAGCAGATGAGGCTTGGCACTGTGAAAGGCCAGGAGAAGACTTTGACAATACAGAATTGAAGGGGCCATTGAGGCTTGTCATCATGAAGAGAACTCAAGAGAAGCTATTGGTGAGGGTGCAACCCAATTGCAGCAGAAGTTCCTTGAGCTTTGGAGATGTAAGAACCAGGAGATGACCACCGAGAACAGTAATAGCAGAGGAGTGGAGCCAACAGGAGCTTAGAAGACCAGCCATGTGTACTGAAGAAAGAAGAGCCTGAGAAGTGATCCAAAGCCTCAGAATATCATGAGGGAATTGTGAACTTTGGATGTTGAGTTATTTATACTGTTGGAGTTTGGTTTTACTTAGTTCAGATTGTGACTGTGCCCTGAAATAAGAGAGTACTTCACTTATTTTTTTTTTTAATTTTTATTTTACAAGAACATGCAATTGAGAGATTGCACTTTAAAAAAAGATTTCAGTTTTAACAGACTTTGGATTTTCTTAAAGAGAGTGAATTCTAATGTGTTTGAATTTGTAAAGACTATGGGAATTTTAAAGTTATTTCTGTTTTTAATGTGAGATCTTGGGAATGAATAAGAAAGGAAAGATTGTGAGGTAGCAGTGATGTGTTTGTGGGTTAAGATGGAAGGGGTCGCTTGAGCTGGTTAGTTTTTCTTTGATATTAATTACAGTTTATTCACTTTGTATGGGATCTGTAGCCACCTCCCTCATTCCTTCCCAATCCCATCCTCCTTCCCTCATCTCCTCCCATGTCTCTTCAAGTCTACCGATAAAGGAGGATCTCCTCCCCTTCCATCAGACCCTAGCCTATCAGGTCTCATCAGGACTGACAGCATTGTTTTCCTCTGTGGCCTGGTAAGGGTGCTGTCCCTCCAGGGGGAGGTGATCAAAGATCCAGCCACTGAGTTCACGGCAGAGACAGTCCCTGTTCCCCTTACTAGGGTACCCACTTGGATACTGAGTGATCATGGGCTACCTCTGTGCAGGGGTTCTAAGTTATATCCATGAATGGTCCTTGGTTGGAGTATCAGTTTCAGAAAAGACCCCTGTGTTCAAATTTCTTAGTTCTGTTGTTCTCCTTGTCTGTTGCCTCCAGGTCTTTCTATCTCCCCCTTCTTTCATAAGATTCCTTGCACTCTGCGCAAAGATTGGCTGTGGGTCTCAGCATCTGCTTCAATACCCTGCTGGGTAGAGTCTTTTAGAGGTCCTCTGTGGTAAGCTCCTGTCCTGTCCCCAGTTTTCTCCCTCTTCCGTTGTCTATCCCATTTGCCTTTCTGAGCAAGGCATGAGGATCGTGTATCTTACCCAGGGTCCTCTTTCTTGCTTAGCTTCTTTAGGTGTACAGATTTTAGTATGATTATCCTCTATTATATATCTAATATCCACTTATAAGTGAGTATATACTATGTATGTCTTTCTGCTTCTCAGGTACCTCACTCGGGATGATCTTTTCTAGATCCCACCATTTGCCTGCAAATTTCATGATTTCCTTGTTTTTAATTGCTGAGTAGTATTTCATTGTGTAAATGTACCACAATTTCTGTATCTATTTCTCAGTTGAGGGACATCAGGGTTGTTTACAGGTTCTGGCTATTATGAATAAAGCTGCTATGAACATGGTTGAACAAATGTCCTGGTTGTATACTTGAGCATATTTTGGATATATGCCTAGGAGTGGTATAGCCGGATCTTGAGGAAGCACTATTCCTAATTGTCTGAGAAAATGTCAGTTTGATTTCCAAAGTGGATATACAAGGTTACAATCCCATCAGCAATAGAGGAGGGTTCCCATTTCTCCACATCCTCTCCAGCATGTATTGTCACTTAAGTTTTTGATCTTAGCCATTCTGATGGGTGTAAGGCAAAATCTCAGGGTTGTTTTGATTTGCATCTGCATGATGACTAAGGATGTTGAACATTTAAATGTTTCTTTGCCATTCAATGTTCTTCTGTTGAGAATTCTCTATTTAGCTCTGTACTCCATTTTTCAATTGGATTACTTGATTTGTTGCTTTTTAACTTCTTTTTAAAAATATTTTTATTAATTATACTTTATTCACTGTGTATTCCCCCATAAACCTCTCCCTTCTCCCCTTCCAATCCACCTTCCCTCCCTCTACTCCACTCATGCCCCTCCCCAAGTCCACTGATAGGGGAGGTCTTCCTGTTCTTCCTTCTGATACTAGTCTATCAGATCTCATCAGGAGTGGCTGCATTGTCTTCCTCTGTGGCCTAGTAAGGCTGCTCCCCCATCAGGGTGAGGTGATCAAAGAGCAGGCCAATCAGTTCATGTCAGAGACAGTGCCTGTTCCCATTCCTATGGAACCCACTTGGACACTGAACTGCCATGGGCTACATCTGTGCAGGGGTACTAGGTTATCTCCATGCATGGTACTTGGTTGGAGTATGAGTCTCAGGAAAGACCCCTGTGCTCAGGTTTTTTTGGTTCTGTTGCTCTCCTTGTGGAGCTCCTGTCCTCTTCAAATCTTACTATTTCCCACTTCTTTCATAAGATTCCATGCACTCTGCCCAACAGTTGGCCATAAATCTCAGCATCTGCTTTGATAGCCTGCATGGCAGAGCCTTTCAGAGGCCCTGATTTTTGACAAAGATGCCAAAACCATACAATGGAAAAAAGATAGCATCTTCAACAAATGGTTCTGGTCTTACTGGATGTCTACATGAAGAAAAATGCAAATAGATCCATACTTAACACTCTGCAAAAAACTAAAGTCCAAGTGGATCAAAGACCTCAACATAAAACCAGACACATTAAATCGGTTAGAAGAAAAAGTGGGGAAGAGCCTTGAACTCATTGGCACAGGAGACAACTTCCTGAACAGAACACAAACAACACAGGCTCTAAGATCAACAGTCAATAAATGGAACCTCATGAAACTGAAAAGCTTCTGTAAAGCAAAGGACGTTGTCATCAAAACAAAACGACAGCCTACGGACTGGGAAAGGATCTTCACCAACCCTCTCTCTAACAGAGGGCTAATATCCAGTATATATATATAAAGGACTAAAGAAGTTGAAATGCAACAAATCAAGTAATCCAATTAAAAAATGGGGAACAGAGCTAAACAGAGAATTCTCAATAGAGAAATATCAAATGGCAGAGAAACACTTAAAGAAATGCTCAATGTCATTAGCCATCAGGGAAATGCAAATCAAAACGACCTGTGATTTCACCTTACACCCATCAGAATGGCCAAGATCAAAAACTCAAGTAACAACACATGCTAGAGAGGTTGTGGAGAAAGGAGAACACTCCTCCACTGCTGGTGGGAATGTAAATTTATACAACTACTCTGAAAATCAATCTGGTGCTTTCTCAGACAGCTTTTTAACTTCTTGAGTTCCTTATATATATTCTGGATATTAGTCCTCTGTCAGATATAGGGTTAGTGAAGATCCTTTCCCAGTCTGTAGGCTGTTGTTTTGTTCTGATGACAGTGTTATTTGCTTTACAGAGGCTTATCAGTTTCATGAGGTTCCATTTATTGATTGTTGATCTTAGAGCCTGTGCTGTTGGTGTTCTGTTCAGGAAGTTGTCTCCTGTGCCAGTGAGTTCTAGGCTCTTCCCTACTTTTTCTTCTAACCGTTTTATTGTGTCGTTTTATGTTGAGGTCTTTGATCCACTTGGACATAGTTTTGTGCAGGGTGATAAATATACATCTATTTGCATTTTTCTATATATAGACATCCAGTTAGACCAGCACCATTTGGTAAAGATGTTATCTTTTTTCCGTTGCATGGTTTTGGCTTCTTTGTCAAAAATCAATTATTCATAGGTATGTGGATTTATTTCTGGGTCTTCTATTCGATTCCATTTATCTACCATTCTGCTTCTGTGTCAGTACCATGCAGTTTTTATTAGTATTGCTCTGTAGTACAGCTTTAGATCAAGGATGGAGATACCTCCAGATGATCTGTTGTTGTACAAGATTGTTTTGGAAATTCTGGGATTTTTGTTTTTCCATATGTAGTTGAGAATTGTTCTTTCAACATCTGTAAAGAATTGTGTTGGTGTTTTGATGGGAATTGCATTGAATCTATAGATTGCTTTTGGCAGGATGGCCATTTTCACTATGTTAATCTTACCAATCCTAGAGCATGGGAGATCTTTCCATCCTCTGATAACTTCGTCATTTTTTTCTTCAGAGACTTGAAGTTGTTTTTTTTTTTTTTTTTTTTCAAACAGGTCTTTCACTTGCTTGGTTAAAATTACACCAAGGTACTTTATGTTATTTGTGGCTAATGTGAAAGTTGTAGTTCCCCTAATTTCTTTCTCAGCCCATTTGTCTTTCATACACAGGAGGGCAACTAATTTTTTTGAGTTAATTTTGTATGCAGCCACTTTGCTGAATTTGTTTATCAACTGAAGGAGTTCTCTGGTTGAATATTTGGGGTCACTCATATATACTATCATATCATCTGCAAATAGTGATACTTTGACTTCTTCCTTTCTGATTTATGTCCTCTTGATCTCCTTCAGTTTGTCTTGCTGCTCTAGCTAGGACTTCAAGTACTATATTGAAGAGATAAGAAGAACGTGGTCAGCCTTGCCTTGTCCCTGATTTTAGTGGGATTAATTTAAGTTTTTCTCCGTTTAGTTTGATGTTGGCTATAGGCTTGCTGTATATTGTCTTTACTGTGTTTAGGTATGTGCCTTGTATCTCTGATCTCTCCAAGACTTTAAACATGAATGGATGTTAGATTTTGTCAAATGCTTTTTCAGCAACTAAAGAGATGATCAGTGGTTTTTCTCCTTCAATTTGTTTATATTGATAGATTTCCATAAATTGAACCACCCCTGCATGCCTGGAATGAAGCATGCTTGGTCTTGGTAGATGATATCTTTTATGCATGCTTGGATTCAGTTTTCAAGTACATTATTGAGTATTTTGGCATCAATGTTCATAAGAGAGATAGGTCTGAAATTCTTGGGGTTTTTTGTTGAGTCTTTGTGTGGTTTAGATATCAAGGTGACTGTGGCTTCATAGAATGAGTTTGGAGTGTTCCTTCTGTTTCTATATTGTTAAATAATTTGAAGAGAATTGGAGTTAGAGCTTCTTTGAAGGTCTGGTAGAATTCTGCGCTGAAACCATCTGGCCCTGGGCTTATTTTTTGGTAGGGCGACTTTTGATGACTGCTTCTATTTCCTTGGGGGCTATCGGACTATTCAATCTCTTTATATGATCTTGACGTAATTTTGGAAAATGGAATCTATCAAGAAAATTGTCCATTTCATTTAGATTTTCAAATTTTTGGGTGTATAGGCTTTTGTAGTAAGACCTAATGATTGTTTGGATTTCTTCAGTGTCTGTTATTATGTCCCCATTTTCGTTTCTGATCTTGCTGATTTGGATAGTGTCTCTCTGCCTTTTAGTTAGTTTGGCTAAGGGTTTGTCTATCTTGTTGATTTTCTCAAAGAACCAGCTTCTGGTTTTGTTGATTCTTTGAATTGTTTTCTTTGTTTCTAATTCATTGATTTCAGCTCTGTGTTTGATTATATCCAATCTTCTACTTCTCTTGGGTGTGTCTGCTTCTTCTTCCTCCTTCCCTAACCCCCAAGGCTTTCAGGTGTGCCCTTAAGTTGCTTGTATGAGATGTCTCCAAATTCTTTCTGGAGGCACTTAGTGCTACCAATTTTCCTCTTAGCATCACTTTCATCGTGTCCCATAAGTTTGGGTAAATTGTGCCTTCATTTTCATTGAATTTTAGAAATTTCTTTTGTCATTTCTTCCCTGACCCAGCTGTCACTGAGTATAGAGTTGTTTAGTTTCCATGTATATGTAGGCTTTTTGTTATTCCTGTTTTTGTTGAGGCCTAGTTTTAGGACATGGTGGTCTGATAGGATACAAGGGATCATTTTGATCTTCTTGATCTGTTGAGGCTTGCTCTGTGCCCAACTATATAGTCAATTTTTGAGAAGGTTCCATGAGGTGCTGAAAAGAAGGTATACTCTTTTGAGTTTGGGTGAAAAGTTCTGTAGCCATCTATTATGTCCATTTGATTTAGCATCTCTGTAAAAGTGTCATTATTTCCCTACTTAGCTTCTGTCTAGATGATCTGTCCCTTGGTGAAGAGCTGGTTAGTTTTATGTCAACTTGACACAGCTAGAGTCACTGCAGAGGAGGGAGAAAATGCCTAAATAAGATTGTATTTTTAGCAGACTGTAGGGCATTTTCTTAATTAGTAATTGATGTGGGTAGTCCCAGTCCCTGTGTCAGGGAGTTCTGGGTTCCATAAAAAAGCAGGATGAGAAAGCCACAAAGAGCAAGCTAGTAAGTAGTTCCCATCCATGGCTTCTGCATCAGCTCCTTTTCTCCTTTCTGACCTTGCTTGAATTCCTGTCCTGACTTCTGTTACTGATAAGCTGTGATGTAGAAAAAAAAAAAAAAAAAAAAAAAAGCTTTTTTCTCCAACTTGCTTTTAAAAACCCTAAGACAAGATTCAAAGCCTTTTGATTGATTCTGATAGTTCGACATGCACATGGTCACCTCTCACAAATAATACTAATGCCAGATTTCTGAATTTACATGTAATATTTAAGCATGCCATTTCATAAATGCTGACTATTTAAGCATATTATTGTGTATAAGAAATGCCTTGTGATTATTTTTGAATTTTTATCATGAAAAAGTGATTTTTGGCTGGAAAAATGACATTCTTAGTTAACTGCTTATCTTGCCAGCATGAGGACTTGAGTTCTATCTCCAGAACCAGTATAAAAATGCCAGGCATAGCACTGTATGCTTGTAATCTCAGTGTGCTGGAGAGGTAGAGACAAGATTCCAACATACACTGAAGTCTATTGAGACACCTAGCTTCATGAACAGAACATCAACTGGATTCTTGGACTTCCATTCCTAGATAGCCACTGTTAGATGAGCTGGACCACAGCCTGTAAGCCTTACTTTCTGATCTCCATCTTTTTCCATGTAGGTTTTTTGAACTGTTTATTATTTGATATATGCAAATTTTACACAGTAATACACTAGGCACTATCGAGCTTTCCATACATCTTATAGCCTACACATGGGTTCATTTTTCCATTTATTAGAATATTTCTTTTGGAAATGTTTTCAGTTAGTCTTGACATCATATATATGGTTTCTTGTAGCCCAGGATGTCCCCAAACCTTCTACCTATCCAACCCACAGGTCATCAACTCACAGTGAGATTGACAGGGCTACTGTATAGTCTCTATTCTAAAAGCACTTTTGTGTTTTATTCTGTAGAGAGCCATAGTACACAATACTAATGGTTGGTTTGTTCCGAGTTAACCTGTAATCTAGGAATACTGAGAAGAATGCATGGCCAGCCCTGGTGCTTGTTACCTTCTGCTTCACAGACACGGTGAAGATGGACAGCAGAACTGATTATTACAAAGAGAAGATGGTAAAGTAAAAAGTACCATGACCTAAATTCCTATGACAAGACTGAGCAGAGGGTAAAAACTTAAATGATCGACTGTCCAGTTTCCCTTCTGCACACCATCTGGCTAAAGATGAGCTGGAAGTCAGATCTTTAGGGCGTAAATCCATTGCCTTCTCTGATCGCTGGTTCTCATGGATTAAGGGCGTAATTCCATTGCCTTCTCTGATCGCTGGTTCTCATGGATTAAGTGTTCAACTTCTGGATTTTGTCTATGTGCCAGAAAGCACAGGTAGCACAACTGAAGGTCTTTTTTTAAAAAAATAGTTATGTCTCTTTGATAGTTAAGAATCGGTTTCCACACTGGGTCACTGCCCGCCTCAACAGCGCCCTCTCTATAAAAGACGGAGCGACTAGGTGGGAGGTGGCTTGAGAGGCGTTTCACAGCGACTGAGCCTGAGGGGCTTTCTGCGATATACCCTCCACAGTGAAGAAGCTCAGACTCCAAGAAGCTGGTGTCTAGCTGCGGCCCGGAGCAACGATGGACAGTCTGGTGAGTGGAGTCGGAGAGGCAAAGGAGGGCAGGGCGGGCGATCACGAGAGCCCGCGGAGTCAGAGAGGGGAGCGCAAGAAGCTTTTCCTTGGAGGAAGAGTGACCAGGGCTTGGGACTCCCTAGGACGGCCGGGCCGGGAGAAAGCCCAGGAGCGGCTCCCATGGCGGCTCCCACGGACAGCTGGGCTCCTGGCTGCAGACCCCATTGCGAGGCAAACACGGCTGTGGTCCTTAACCCGCGGCTGGGATGCAGCCTAGTAATCCAGCTCCCTTTTAATTCTTGCTGCATTCCTGGCCCTAGCCTGGGAAGCTGGGAAGCGTCTATCTATCTACAAGTGCTGCAGCAACCTTCCTAAGAGGATTGCCAGCTCCGTGGTCTTGTTAAAAGCCAGGATATTTAGAGAGACCGACATTTTGAGTCTTCACACGACAGAAAATTTGAAAAAAAGGAAGGGTTGTCATACACCCTGTTCTCTATCCACGCACGAAACTGGTAGAATTGGGTGAAAATTTAAATGCAATTAAAACCGCGAGGTACTGATTTTCATAGGGCTGGCAAGACCACAGGCCACTGCGATTGCTTTACCCTTCTTAACAAAGGGGAGTGGTGGTCTGTGAGCTAGATGCTCTTAATCCTCAAAGGAGGAATTCCTTTCCTGTTTTACAAATGAACGGGTAGGGTGTGGTGGGGGGTGTCATTTTTTTCCAAGTTCTTGCGGCTGCAACGAAGATACTCATTCAGACCTAGAAAGAACAGGAAAATAAGATCTAAAAACCTAGCAGGTGTGTGTAGTTGTCGGGTAAGGCGCAGGCTGTAATGAACCTTCTTGGTGGGAATTACAGGAGGATTTCTTTGTCTTCATATTTGGACACTCTAGTTCATTCTTCATTAGTTAATCTTTTAGCATCGGTTACATTCTGCGCACTGGAATTTTTTTTTTTCTTGGAATTTTCACTTGTGATACCCCGCAGCATCGATTTGCTGTTTTTACAGCAGACCAGCCCCTAAGATCTTTTTTGCTACTTTAAAATTTCGAATATTTACATATGCACAATGAGATCTCTTGGGAGCACGACCCAAGACTAGGCAGGAAGCTCCTTCATATTTAATGTACATCTTGTATACAGAGCCTCGGATAATGTCACGATTGCACAGTTCCTCTTGGTGACCATCGCATGGGGCCAGGTGTGGCATTTTCCATGGTAACATCGTGTCAGTACTCAGAAGTTTCAGATATGGAAGAATTACCATTTTTAAATTTCCCACCTATGATTCATTTAACCCTGAGAGAGGTTAAATAATGTGTCTTACCTGATATATTTAGGATTCACCTTAGACTGGGGTCTGCCCTGGTTATCACACAGTAATTCCCATCCCCACGTCATCTCTCCGAGAAACAGAAAGCCTGGCACTGTTCTGCGTGGACCAGACGAGAATGTAAATACGTTTTTATGTGAATTTTTAACAGTTAAGTTTCTCTCTTGACTCCCTGCTCCCCAGTCTCGGCGTTGTTTTTCACCCTCCTCCCCAGGACACACTCCTCAGTCTTATGCTGTTTTTTCCTCTGGTCCTTAGACACAGTTATTTTTCACTACAGACGCCAGTTAGTCCCGCATTTTCTTATTACAGCCTTTGCTAGGGCCTGGGCTTCACTCTGAAAGAAAGGCATAATGGTCAAAATTAATGGTGTGAAATTAGCATGCCACAACCTGTACTGAGTCATAGCTGCAGAGCCAGAGAATGCATTTGGCCTGATTTGTCCAGCTTTTCTATATGCTAAGAAGTGATGGAGAATAGTCTCAACAATATGGAGAAAATTTTCCCGGAAGTCCAGGGCACTTCAGAGATAAAACCGTTTTTAGAAGGTGGTGCCTGTATGCATGAAAGGGGGGGAGGGGAAGCAGAGGTTGTATTGTGAAGGTTGCAGGCTTTTAGGGAGCTCATCGCTTTTAACTTTCTAATGGGTAGTGACTTTGTTGTGAACCTTAGACCAATTGAAGTCAAGAGAAGTCACAAGGTAGGCGTGGCATACTCATGGTACACTTCAGTATCCCCAACTTGTCGCTGCAAACAATACTTTGTACTAAGGATCACTCAGATGATGGAATTTTTAATTTCCTGTAGCCTTAAGGTTGTAAGGAAAATCCTACTATGCTATGCAGATGGGTATCAGAGCCTACACTTTTATGGTTCTCTGTGGGGTACAGGCAGAAAGTCTAAAATGCTGGGGCTCCCTAGGTGGAAGCACTCAAGGTATGGGGTTGCATAGAGATGGCCACAGGGACGAGACACTGTCTCTTCCAGGGTGTATATTCTGAAGATCACAAGGACTACCAGGACAAGGACTGTGATGGAAAGTGCCAGCTCATGCAAAGAGGAATTTAAGGAAGGTTCCTTTACTAACATATAAATATGTGAAAATATGTAAAATGAATTCATAGACTCGGGGTCTCTACCAGTCTCCAAAGCACCTGTCATAGCACCTCGCATAGATCAAATGCAAAAGGTAATGAAGGAAGTATTGTCAAAGGCCCAGTTAGATTATGCATGAAGGTGTTAACAATGAAACCTATTCTTCTGTACAAGCAATTATGCTAATAAAAAGAATTAAAGATACATTGAATTAGTAAGAGGACAAAATGCCCAGTGACATGAGCTGAGACTACTGGTACTAGAGGAAGGACCAAGGGTTCCACGTGGGAGGAGTTAGCATTTGAAGTGACTAAATATTTGGAAAGGGCAAGAGAGCCAGTGAGACACTCTTGTCTGAGAAAGAAAAGTCCCAGACGAAATGGCTCACACGATGAAAAGATGATGAATTTCCTGTCATTCATAAAGTTATTCATAAAGTTCTTAACCCATGCTATGTCATTTATTCTGTCAGTTGGGGATGATTTAGGCAGAAGGAAGATACAAATGAGCTAGAATACATGAGAGCTTGGCAATTTGAAGGTCAGCAAGGAAGACCTTGGTTTGCAAGGAGGAGACATAGGAATGTAAGGTCTGACAGAACCTCGGGAGGTGCTGGGCTCCAGGTAGTAGGAAACACAAAGCTAAGAATTCATGGAACACCAGGTGGAAACTTCTAGCCAACTTCATAATGGCTGTCAGATCACTTTCCTCGGGAAACCACTAAGTGTGGTCACCTTAACCTGATCAATCAGCAAGAGCTTGATAGTCCCACAATCATGGTTTTGAGATAGGAAGTATGAAATACTTTTACATTAGTGCCCAATTTCTAAAACCAACAGGCCAGGCGATGTGGTAGCATGGTTATGACTGTGGAGCTAGTGCTCCAGTGTGAGTCTTGCCTCTACTATTTCCTAGTCATGTTACCAAGGAAAGCTACTTAGCATCTCTCCTTCACATTCTTCATTGCACAAGTGTTGATATCAGCAGTGCCTTCCTCATAGGTTCCTGAAATTGGGTGAAGTAGTTGATCTCAAGTGCTAAGAACGGTGCCAGGTACATAATGTGTTCAATAAATGTTAGTTTTGTGATCATTAGCAGCTGATTCACCAAGAGCTAAGTAAAAATTAAAATAAATATTTATATATTTGTCTTGTATGTGTTTATTCCAGTCATTTATTCTTGTCTCTTGGTCTTTCAAACCAGATGGTCATGTACCTACTACATCAGAAGGCTGATATCACTGAAAGGCAGAGGAATTTTAGAAAATTTTCCGTAACAATGGCCTAGACATTCGTGCTTTAAAACCCCACATGCTGAAAAAGGAGGAAAAAGTTCATTCCAGTAAGAATTGGTGAGGAGCTCCAAGGTAGCGGAAAAACCAGTTTTTCTGGCCCGAGAGAGCTAAGTGGTTTCCGGCCCAAGAGAGGGAGAGGACTGACTAGTATCTACAGCTATAGCCAGACAGCAGCTTGCACAAGAGGAAGGAGCAACTAGAACCTGTGCATGGGCCTTGAGCTCCAAAAGAAGACAGGCTGCAGTGTGACAGAGTGTCGCAGGCATTTAGAGAGAGCATTAATGAATTTCCTTGGCCAAGAAGAACCTAGGGTAGTTTACAAGAGCAAGAGAGAACTGCAGTTAGCCTTTGACTCTGTAACTGTACAAAGGGTGGCCTTGGTGACTAAGGGAAACACAGCTATCTTAGTGAACACAAGGGAGAAACATTTTTTGACCTTGTAATGAAAGGAGCTGTGGCTTGGTGTGCTGTAAGCCTTCGGAAGTTCCAGGAGTTCAGGTGCAATGCCGGAGATGGTGACCTTTATAGAGTGTTGGCGTGCTTGAAGGCTGAATGGGCCCTGAAGGTACAGCATTGACCGAAATGTTGTACCTCCAGTTGGAATGGCAACAAGAAACAAAAATGAAATTCAGTTAATTAAAATTATAGAGAAAATCGACATGTCTTACAATCCTTTAGCACAAAAAGAATAGAACTATGGCCACTGAGATAGTTTCACTGTGTTGAGGCACTTTCTGCACAAGACTGTTGACGTGAGTTGTTCTGGCGTAACCCACATAAAGGTGAAAGGAGAGAACCAAATCCACCGAGCTGTTCCTGACCTCTCCTGACCTCCACACATACAGTGCAGCATGTGAATTCCCCATCTACATCACACGCACGCACGCGCATACGTGCGCGCGCGCGCACACACACACACACACAGATAATAAGTTAGTTACAAACATAGAAATATAGGAAAGCATCCCATCTCCTACTTGTGTCCCTTAGAATGATACTTTAGGTCCAGTGAAACAATTCTGAGGCAACCATGAAGAGCAACTGATCTGAACACTCTGTCTCCTCATTTTACAGTGAGGAAATGCCCAGAATAACATTTTTTAAATAGTGCCAGGGATTGTCTTGAGGCAGAGATTCCCTAGCTGAGAACAAAAAATAAACCAATGAAGGAATAAACAAAGTTAATATTAGTACTGGCCTGTAAATATTGAAAAATAAAAGGTTGCGTTTTCAGGAGCGTCTGCCTCAGCAAAGCCCAAGATTGCAATGTTTCTGAAAAGTGTTTTCCTTTTGAGTTTTGTCCTTCTTATTAACAGCACTTGATTATTTGGAAAGGATATGCTGTCTGACATCTGTATTTTCTGTGTTTTTCTCTATTAACTTAAGGCAGTTTGGCCCAGGGAGCTGATGTGTTCAAGACTTTGCTCTCGACAGCTGTAGCTTTAAGAGCAAGACTCACTTTGCCAGAGCCATGACAGAACCACATTGTAGCTTTTCCCTCCCCACATCCTGAGTACTCTGTTATTTCTTCCATTTGTAGCCTTGGGTTCTGTTTCCACAAAACTCTGGTGGGTAAACACTGGACTCCACCCTTTCCTGGAAAAGGTAATAGAAGGGCTCTGTCCAAATGCAACCCCCATCTCTGTCCTTTGCTTTCTGTCTTCAGGTATTCAGGAGACCTTTCTGCCATCTCTCCACCTACAGCCTGATTTGGGGCATGGCAGCAGTAGCGCTGGGCACAGCTCAAGGTAAAGATGCTCAGTTCTTCACCCAGAGAGCCTCTGGGGTGAAGGCTGGCCACTCCTATGGGTATTAGCCTAGCCTACTCTTCTGCATGAATTACTAGAGCATGCCATCAGCCTTGGGACCGTGGGAGTGGTTCTTCCCGCTTTCCATATTTTTGTTTTTCAATGCAGCAGAACAATTTGGCATTCAGAGGCTATTCCAGTAGATAAACTAGATTTAAGAAAAACATCTCCTCCCTCGTGAAATATGATGTCAGTTTTTTTTCCCCCACAGATATGAGGGAAAATACTTGAAAAATAATTTCCTGAACTTAATTTTAAGGACCTGGGAAGATCTAGTTTACAGTATTGTAGATAAGAAACTGATATATTCTTCCTGGAAGACCTTCCTTAAAATTGAATAGTAAAAGGTAGAAAAATACTGTCACTCAGAGATTGTATTATCTCCTGTACAAAAACATGCTTGTTCCACTTTCTCTGAATTTTCTTATTTTTCTTGTCATTTCAAGAGAGGTCAGTGCTCACTTTCTGCTGGTTTGTTTGTCTATCATTTTATTACTTAGTTCCCTGCTGTTGTTTGGTTTGTGAAGGGGGAGCTTTGGAAACTGTCATCTATTCATTTTCAGTCTCTTTGGTTCTTAGTGAATAAAGTTGGTATTAAATCTGTCCATCAAAGAAATGCTTTATTGAGCTTTATAGACGCTGAGTGCATCATGTTCTGGTTAGGTTCTGTTAATTTATGAATCTTGCCATGAGTTCAGCTGTAATTAAAGTTAAAAAGGGATTGGGGGAAGTCCTGATTTTATAGTGTTGTAGATAATGTTGAGAAAGAGTAAATTTTTAAGGCCAATTTCAAGTTCAGTTTGAGAATATATTTTATGTGTGTTTTGAAAATATACATTCTCTCACTTAGCAATGTATATATCTGAGTAATATATATTCATACATATAAAACATAATACACATGTAAATCTAGTATATTCTAATCAAATATAAAAATAACTATAAGCATATTTTAATTTTTTCTATGCTATAATGCTTGAATTTTTGCCTTAATGATTTAAAATTATGGAACTGGAGATTTTAGGAGACATAGAAAACTCTATTAGGACTGTAGATTTATAAATTTCTATTGAGATCTCAGCAATGTTTACTTTATATGTCTCAGGGTTAGGTTGTCAGGTGCATGAGGTTTCATATGTTGTCTCAAATTGGATTGCTCCCCTTACCATTTTATAGATCTCCAGTTTTTTTCCATGTGAAAAGCACTAATGTTAGAATGCTTAAGTATATTCGTTGAGCTTTTCTTTAGTCCTTTGTGTAGATATACCCCTATATGTTACATTCTGGGAAGATGCCATGGCCTGGCCTTCTGGTCTACCAATTCCTCATTCAGTGGCAGCCGTTCTGCTCAACAGAACAGTTTGTTGAGAATTTTGTGTTTCCAGTTTTCAGATCTCTAATTTATACTGTTTACAATGTTGTTTTTTTCACTCACCCATAATCATGACAACATGCTTATTGACTTGTGATGCCTGGATTCATTTGTTCTGAGTTCTTGAGTGTGGCATTTATTACTACTCCTCTTTCACTGTGTCCCTTTTCTCAAAGGTTCGGTCATTTGCTATTGTTTATTTATTATTACATGGATGCTAGTACATTAAGTCACCTGTCATTGTATCAGTGGCCAGCATTGCAGAGAACTTATTGCCATAACATATAATGAAAACAGAGAGTATGTGGATTACCAGTTGAGTGCCAAAATCTTTTGATCATGATGAGTATATCAAGCCTCCCAGAGAATCATCCTATTTATCACTCCCCTTGTGTGGCTGTCCTTAGTCTCCTTTTCCAGAGCCTGATCCCTCAATGATGCTGTGTGTATGTGTGTATGCATATGTGTATGCATGTGTGTGTGCATGTGTGTATGCATGTATATGTATGTATGTATATAATAAGATTCTAAAATGGAAACGTTGTTTTTGATTCCATAGTGGAAGTGGTAACCCAGGACGAAAGAAAGCTGCTCCACACATCTGCATCCTTACGATGTTCTCTGAAAACATCCCAGGAACCCTTGATTGTGACATGGCAGAAGAAGAAAGCTGTGAGCCCAGAGAACATGATTACTTACAGCAAAACCCATGGGGTTGTGGTCCAGCCTGCCTATAGAGACAGAGTAAACATTACTGAGCTGGGACTCTGGAACACGAGCATCACCTTCTGGAACACCACAGTGGATGATGAGGGCTGCTACATGTGTCTCTTCAATACCTTTGGTTCTGGGAAGGTCTCGGGAACAGCTTGCCTCACCCTCTATGGTGAGAATCTCTGAGAATACATTTTTTTCTTTTTAGAAATACGATTTCCAAGAGCACTGGGAATGTGGTTATAGCGCCTGGATTTTCTGTTTCGTAAGGTTCACCAGAAGGCACTTAGCCTCTTGTGCCTGCTGTAGCTGTTAGTGCAGGATTTGGAGAACTCAAGGCACTGCACTAAGTTGTTTGGCTGGAACTGTCTTCTGTCTAGGGTCTTGCCATCAACAAAATTGAAGACAATGATGAGGGTGACAAGTTCACGGCAGTGATTTGCTTTCTGACTCGGCCTTTGGACAGCAAATGTGCAATTTGTTATTTGTCTCTAGAGCCCTTTACAATTTCTAAAGGAAGAGGCAGATTAGTCTAACCTGGAGCCAATATGATGTCTTTCTTATTTTAGTTCAAGGAAACTGTTTCAGGATTGCTAAGGGTAAAGCCAGAAGAGGCTTTTCATAAAGAATGGATGCCACTGGGAATATAATAGGATTCAAAGCATTCTTTAAACATCCCACAGGTTTGCTGGTGTGATGAGATTATTTTCTCTTCATTGATGCACGACTGTGATGGAGAATTAGGAGATGGGACAAAAGATGGGACTCCCTCTTTAGGAGGGAGAGGACAGAGGCAGGGAAGAGACGTTACAAATATTGACACTTTTAAGCGTGCTAACAGCATTGTCCATGGGAAAGGAAGGGATCCACTACTTAAGTGGGAAATGCGATGGATTCAGAGATCTTCTACTCACACTCTAATGGACCCTCTCAATATTATGTCAGGATTTCTTCTTGATTTTCACTCCTGAGTCTGTTTCCCTTACTCACTTTCTTCCTTTTACCCCTTATCCCTTCCTCTTATCTTCTTTTTGCTTCTCATCTCATATTTTCTCACTTCTGCACATTTTTTTTTCTCTAGTTTTCTTCTCCTCCTCATTCTCCCTCCACACCCAAACTGGAAATCCTGTTCCCACCAACAGTGAATGGCCCTTTCCATCAAACCTTACAACTTGCATTTAAGCCATTCTTTGATACCCCCATAGACTATGATACGTAATCTAAACTCGTAAATCATACTCATTTTTCCTTACTGTTATCTCTCCTAGCACTTACTGGTGCTTGGAATTTGGGCACTCATTTACAGATCCACCCCCCAGCTACCAAAGTCTATCTGTCTCTTGAACCTCCAAGCACAAAAAAGCTTTCACTCCCTACTGGCTTCTAATTAACTAACGGGCTTCAAAGCCAGCCTCGGAAGGATTAGTTTATACAGGTTGGCAGAACTAAGGTCTACATTCCAACAGAAATGAAATCATTAGCTGGGGAGGCCTGTGCAAAGAGAACAGGCTGCAACTGGTGGGGAAATTATATGTTTTTATTCTGAACATTTTTTTTTCAACTTTGTCAGGTGATCCCCGAGTCACTTCCAACGGTCACTCTCTGATGTTCCTAGCTATGGACTCTGAGTTTCCAGCTTGCATTTTGAGTATGCCTCCTAACTAAGCACTTTGGTGGAGGAAGTCCCCTACCTGCCTCATTCAGCTTTTTGCAGAAAATGGCCTTTTCTCTAAACAGCAGGCAGTGGGAACTGTGCCCTGTCCGGTGCTTCTCATAGGTACAGAGTATCCATACAGAGGTGCTGATTAGGGGGTACTGTCAGATGATTTCTGAGAAACATAACAGAAAAGATTGCTCGCAGAAAAGACACAGAATAATCAGGCTTACACTGTATGGAGGAGAAAAATATAATTTCATGTCTTCTTGTATCTTCATCTAACCAGCTAGAGACAAATGACAGACATGGCACCTCTCATTAGAGGTTTGAACTCACTGGAAGAGCTGGGAGTGGGGGAGGTTCGTCATCTCATCTGTCTAGCTCCCATTGTCTTTGCCTCAGCCCTGTGAGGAAATGCAGAACCCAGGCGAGGTGCCTAACTGATGGCAGGCCATGTGCTTTTTCTTTTGTCCCAGTACAGCCCATAGTATCCCTTCACTACAACTATTTTGAAGACCACCTAAACATCACTTGCTCTGCGACTGCCCGCCCAGCCCCTGCCATCTCCTGGAAGGGCACTGGGTCAGGAATTGAGAACAGTACTGAGACTCACTACCATTCAAACGGGACTACATCTGTCACCAGCATCCTCCGGGTTAAAGACCCCAAGAATCAGGTTGGGAAGGAAGTGATCTGCCAGGTTTTGTACCTGGGGACTGTGACTGACTACAAGCAGACTCTGGACAAAGGTAAGAGAGACAAGGGAGACTGTGGTGCATCTATGTTTGTGCACCCGGAACATGATAATGTTCTTCAGAGACTCTCGACTGCTCAGCAAAGGCTATGATTAGAGAGAGTGTGGAGTAAGGGTAGAAAGAGCTTGAGGGAGCAAATACAGCAAGTTTTACTGTAGTCTCCCCACCAACAGAAGATGCATAAAGCTGCAGAGAGTATAAACGCTATATTTTACACATACACATACACCTACAAGTTCCTATAATTAAGTTGGCTTTCTAATTAGGCATGGTTTGAGATCAAATAGCAAATACCAATTAAGAAAACACAACCACAGAAAGCTGCTTAAATTAACATTTGTATTTAGAATTCCTTTATGCAAAAAAAAAAAAAATCGAATATAAACATGAGATACAAAAACCAACCGATCTGAAAATTAAGGCAGCTCCTTCATGGCTAACCAGAGGGCCTCCAGGAAGTAGTTCCTACAGACGTGTCCGGCTGGGCTTCCCCAAAGCCTCAAGGCCAGATAGAAACTGGGTATTTAGATAAATTTTGGTCTAAAAGCATTGCATGCTACATTTGGACCTTCGTGGAGTAAGCCCCAGGATCAGCCAAGGACAAGAGTAAATGTCCCTGTAAAGCGAGAACCTGAAAAGAAAAATAAGTACTTTTCCAGGAATTCTGAGTTTGAACTTACACAACATAAAATGTTTTTTATTGTTTGTATAGCATTTGTTTATTCCCTGAATATTTACAAGCCAAAAGTCCCATACACAGCTATAGAAGCCTTGGAAATGAGAAGAGGCCGAAGGCTCTCAGCTCAGTTGTAACAGTTTGCAATAGATTGCTTAGTAATGAGACCATCGATTGGAAGAAATGCTTCCAGTGGTTGACATCACAAGAATTATGATTTTATTTTTCTTTCTAATTCCCAGTATATTTAATTTTTTAAACAAACATGTTACCTTGGTGTAACCTAAGAATATGAGTTTTGGAGGTAAAAAGATTTGACTAATCCTTGGCTAGTATATTTTCCACCCTGGCATTGAGCTCAGTTAGTTTCCTCAGTTAGGAGTGGTTTCATTTTTAAGTCTGTTAGCTATTAATAACTTTTTCTTTTTGTTTTTTGAGACGGAGTTTCTCTGTATAGCCGTGGCTGTCCTGGACTCACTTTATTAGACCAGGCTGGCCTCAAACTCACAGAGATCCTGGGATTAAAGGCCTGCACCACCAAGCATGGCTGATATTAATAACATTTAACTTCTGGAATTCGCGAAGCTCTTACTATATGTAACTGCAAAAAAAAAAAAGAAAAAGAAAATGCTGGCTGTTACTTATACCTAAATGTTCTACAAGTCCTATGAGGTCATGAGTATAGATGTAACTAGGTATGTACTTAGGGATAATTTTAGATGAGAGCTCAGTTGTCATAAAAATTCATCACAATTGTTGCTTTATCACTTTTTGCCTTAGCAGCCTCCTCTTCTGATTCCCCTTTCCCTCTCTCCCATCTAAACCCACAGGATTTTGGTTTTCAGTTCCATTGTTGCTAAGCATTGTTTCTCTGGTAATTCTTCTGGTCTTGATCTCAATCTTATTATACTGGAAACGCCACCGAAGTCAGGAGCGAGGTGAGTCATCACAGGGGATGCAAAGAATGAAATAAGGTAAATATCCCATTCTTTATAGTAATTTGTGGTTTGTTTGCATATGTAAATAAAGGAGGCCACCACTGTTATTTTTATTGTTTATACAGTACATAAGGGCTGATTCTGTTTAAAAAAGCTACAAAGCTTCCTTTCTTGTAAGTGGACATTTCTGCTTTTCATTTTATAGGATATTTTAAAGGTGATTTCAGAAGTTAAGAGTAAGAGCTCTTAGAAAGAAAATAGGAAAATATTGATTGGATCACAGTGGGATTTTGGGGAAATCAAATAGAGAAATCTGGCACCCACACAGGGACCTCTCCACCTGTTAATAAGGCCAATCTTGTCTCTACAGCAACCGACAAGCCGTCTGACCAATTAAAAGACTGTGAGCTTGCCCAATGCCATCTCATCAGATAGCACTTTCTACACTCCACTTTCATGAAGCCTCAAACACTGTCAACACACAAGTGATTCACATTTGTAGTTGTTACTTGTGTTAGTCTTCATGCTTTTCCAGGCTGGGAATTTCTCTTTAGCCCTCACCTCACCAACATTTGCCGCAGTATCACTCAGGCATATCTATCCATCTCTCTCTCTCTCTCTCTCTCTCTCTCTCTATCTACATATCACATATATGGCTATATAAAATATGTATTGCTCAATAAATGTTCATTTATTAGTTGAGTGACCAGATGGAGTGAGTATGAATACATTTTAAAGGTAATTTCCAAATTCTTTTCCTCTTATTGTAACTAGGTACCTTATGAATGCAGGCCAAGTCTTAGACAATGTAAGGCATCAGAAAATAAGATTGCTCCTAAAACAAGAGAAGTTAGCTATAGTTCAAAAAAGAATTTTATTTATTCATTTGTTTGTTTTCTGAAGCCTGTGCACAACTTACTGAGCAAAAAGCTGCAATTTTGTTGTTTTAAAATGGGAATTTCCAAGGGTGAAGGGGTAATATGGGAGTTTCTTCCATCTCAGATAACTAAACTTCAGGGTCAGAGTATAAAATAAATGCTGGTATTAAGTGTTATTTTAGAATTTGATTTAAAATTTCCCTCAAATTCTACCTTATTTTCCTTTCCTTTTTGTTTCATGTGCTAATTCTCATGTCCTCACAACACTTTGACCTTATCTTGCCTAAACCATATAAACAACATATTAATTCACTGAATTTACAAAATAAGCAATGAGCCTTCAATGTCAGTGACCCTTTTAAGAAAGTAGATGCAAGGTCTTGTTCTGTCAGACGATCTCATGGCTATCAACATAAGCCGTAGAACACAAGGCCCTCCCTATAGTGTCAAATGCAGAAATATCTTTGATTCTATCTAATCCAAACATTTCAGTTTCTCAGTTAGGTAATGGGAGCCAGAAGGGAAGCCAGCCTCCTTCTCCAAGGTCACAGTCAGTTCTTATAAGCAGGTTAGAACTAGAAGACCACTTTCCCCACCATACCCCTGACTGGAAAGGAGCTACTTCTTATCAGTTGCAATCATTGTAAAGGATTTGAATTCTTACTAAGAGTTATACTTAAGTCCAGGATACATTTCGCTAGACAAGGATATTTGCAAATTAATAGTTCTCTATTCATTAAGCAAGTGTTAGATTTTCTGAGGAATAGATTTGCTAAATGCCGAAAAGAGGCAGCTTATGGCTATGCTCAACTTTTGCCTCACTTAAAAAAAAAAAGAAGAAAAAATCCTAGTCATTTGAACCTGTGAACACTGAGATTACCATTTGTTGGCAAATGTTGGCATGACGTATGGCCACATCAGTAAATTTCTCTGAATGTTCATATTTTGAGTAAGTTGATTAAAAATGATTTCAGAACTTTAACAACCACAGGATTTGATTTTGTATGTTTAAGGCTATTAAAAACAAGTGTCAATTATGTTGGAAGCTTAATTGCTCAGAGCCAAGGAAATGCTGGTTTATAAAGAGCCAAATTTTATGCTATGTAGAAAATTGTGAGAAAGAGAAAAAAGTCAAAGAATATGACATTTCTCTCTTCTAAGTTAATGCAGCAGGTACATGGCTCTGCATTTGCCTTTCATCCCTACCACCCTTACCAGTCCTCTCTCACTTTTTCTTCCTCTCATTTTTTGAGCTCAAAAACCTTTTATGAATTAAATTTTTCTGAGCTTAGTGATCTAAAAAAATCCATTCTGTGAACATGCAAGAAGAAATAAGAAAGTGGAAGAGTGTGTGTGTGTGTATGCGCACGTGAGTGCGTGCATGTGTGCTTTGCAGGAAGGTAAGAAGAAAGATGAATGGTGCTCGTCCTAACCGAATCTGAACAGACTCATCTCCATGGAGCACTCAGTCGCCTGTAAAAGTGTGTTCAGTGCAGGGATGGCTAAGATCAAAAACTCAAGTGACAACACATGCTGGAGAGGTTGTGGAGAAAGGGGAACCCTCCTCCATTGCTGGTGGGAATGTAAACTTGTACAACCACTTTGGAAATCAATTTGGTGCTTTCTCAGATAATTACGAATAGTGCTTCCTCAACATCCAGCCATACCACTCCTAGGCCTATATCCAAAAGATGCTCAAGTACACAACAAGGACATTTGCTCAACCATGTTTGTAGCAGCTTTATTTGTAATAGCCAGAACCGGAAAACAACCCAGATGTCAGTTGAGGAGTGGATACAGAAATTGTGGTACTTTTACACAATGGAATACTACTCAGCAATTAAAAACAAGGAAATTATGAAATTTTCAGGCAAATTGTGGGACCTAGAAACAATCATCCTGAGTGAGGTATCCCAAACCCAAAAGCAGAAAGACACACATGGTATGTACTCACTTTTATAGACCTGTAAGATAGGATAAACATACTGAAATCTATACACCTAAAGAAGATAAACAAGAAAGAGGACCCAGGGTAAGATGATCAATTCCCACTTAGAAAGACAAAGGGGATGGACATTGGATGTAGGAGCAAATAAATAACAGGACAGGAGCCTACCACAGAGGGCCTCTGAAAGACTCTACCTAGCAGTGTATCAAAGCAGATATTAAGACTTATAACCAAACCTTAGGCAGAGTGCAGGGAATCATAAAAAAAAGGGGGGGGGGGAATTAATATGACCAGGAAAGGACAGGAGCTCCACAAGGACCAAATATATCTGGATACAGGGGTCTTTTATGAGACTGTTTCTCCAAACAAGAACCATGTGTGGATGTAACCTAGAACCTCTGCTCAGATGTAGCCCTTGGTAGCTCAGTATCCAAGTGAGTACCCTAGTAAGGGGAACAGGGACTATTTCTGACATGAATTCAATGCGGGCTCTTTGACCTCCTCCCCTCTCCCCCGAAGAAGGAGCAGCCCTGCTAGGCCACAGAGGAGGACTTTACAGCCAGTCCTGAAGATACTTGATAAAACAGGGTCAGATGAAAGGGGAGGAGGTCCTCCCCAATCAGTGGACTTGGAAAAAGCCAGGGAGGAGATGAGGGAGGTAGAGTGGGATTGGAAGGGAAAGAGGGAGCGTGATACAGCAGGGATACAAAGTTAACAAACTGTAAAAACAAAAACAAACAAAAAACCAATAATTCATTAAAAAAAATTGTTCAGTGCAGTCAATATTTGTTTCCTAAATTATCAAGACAAAACTTCGTTTAGATCCCAAACACAATTCATGCCCACAAAAGTGCAAACAAAATTTACTTTTGCCCAAGGGGGGAATCTGTAGTAACTGCTATTGTCTTTGCATAGAGGTCAGCCTCCCCTAACTCCTCTTGCAGTTCTGTGCAGTTCAGGACAGTGTTCTGTGCTCTTTTCTGCTCTGCATGTGCTCTGGAGGAAGATGGGATAGTTATCAGGCCGTTCTCTACACCACTCCTAGCAGGATCATCACAGTTATTTCCCTTCCATCTCCACTTAGGAGACTGAGAAGCCTTTAAAGACTATACTTGCTTTGTTTTTGTTTCTGTGAAACCAGTATTTTTGAACCAGTATTATTGAAATAGAAAGCAAGAAATAATCCAAAGTTTCCTAGGGAAATTTTCTACCACCCCATAGTCATTCTTTCTAGTAACATCGATAATGTCATAAGTTCATATCTTCTCCATGTAAAACAATGAAAGTAAATTTGAGGCTGAGAATAAGCCAGGCCGCAGAGGAAGACAATGCAGCCACTCCTGATGAGACCTAACAGACTAGGATCAGAAAGAAGGAAAAGAAGACCTCCCCTACCAGTGGACTTGGGGAGGGGCATGCTTGGAGTAAGAGGAGGAAGGGAGAGATTGGGAGGGGAGGAGGGAGGGAACTACAGGGGAGATACAAAGTAAATAAAGTGTAATCAATAAAAAAAATTTTTTTTAAAAGCTTGCATTTCTCAAAAGTCACCTACCAGTTATTATGTGTTTCCCAGAAACAATGAATGAAACTTTGGTTCTCGTTGGGAGCAGATCAATGTAGCTCTTTGTTTTGAGTAGCTAAGCTATTATCTTTGCTTTGGTTTGATTGATTCAAGACAGGGTTAGAAATGAAAGAACACAGACAATCACATGAGACATACATTTTAGACTTCACTTTTGCTCCAAGTGCTAGCTAATTCATAAAAAAGTATGTTTTTTGGCCACATAATATTTATATTTATCTTGATTTCCCTTACATCCTAGTAACCTGAGTTGTGGGTGGGCTTTTGTCAACATACAGTGATCATATTAATAATTTCTTATTTCCTGGGTAAGAGTATACACCTATTTATTTATTTATTTATTTATTTATTTATTTTTCTTTTTTCTTTTTTTATATTAATTACACTTTATTCACTTTGTATCCTCCCATAAGCTCCTCCCTCCTCCTCTCTCGATCCCACCCTCCCTCCCCTTTCTTCACGCATACCCTCCCCAAGTCCACCGATAGGGGAGGTCCTCCTCTCCTTCCTTCTGATCTTAGTCTATCAGATCTCATCAGGAGTGGCTGCATTGTCATCTTCTGTGGCCTGGTAAGGCTGCTCCCCACTTAGGGGGAGGTGATCAAAGAGCAGGCCAATCAGTTCATGT